ATGGTCCCTTATAACAGAATTCTCATATGGAATAAATAGTTCTCATATTAACTCTCACACATGTGCACACACAAAATTGCTACTACAAAAACAAGGACCAGCATCAGCTGGGTTGGAAGAGGATTTTGTTAGATTTCACAGTCTTGATAAAAGCATTTCCAAAAAATATCAAATCATGTTGAAAGAAACAAATACGCTTCTTCCCCAGTCTGCACCTTTGTGAGATTTACACAATGTTTTGGAGGGAAAAAAAGAGTACACAAACAATGCACAGATTTTAAGATGCAAACAGCTGAATATGCACATAACTGAGAAAAAAATGGCATGCTCAGTCATCCTTCAGTCAAATGAGAAGAGTTGTGTTACTCAAGAAAAATTATGTAACAATTGTTCACATGTGGAAAAAATGTGTTATAGAAATACACACATTTGAATGTGGAAAGAAAGCAATTTCCCCCCAGATGTGAAACAGAAAGAGGAAGAAAAAGTAGGAAGATTTCAGAGTAATTAAGGGGGGAAAAAAACAGCTAAAGCTGAGGGATATTTATACACCTAGCCTCAGCTCAGTTAAAGGTTTACACTCTCTCTAGGTGACAAGCAAGTATGAACTGGTTTCTTGTTAAATTGTGATCGCAAAAAGATCGTCGTAATGCAGTTTCGTCATAATGCGGGGCAATCGTAAAGCGAGGCACCACTCTAATCTATATCTAACTAAAGGAATATTCATTATTTGACCCATAAGTATCTGTTTTCATCATACGTTAAGCTTTGTTTTTCCTAATATACTCTACAGTGTGTATCACTACATTATATTTCTTTATGATTCCAAGTTTTAAAAATGCTGTATATTTCTTTACCTCTGTGCCTTCATCATATTCATCTTTGTTAGTGTCACTATGAGAGCTCTGATACTTACAGGTAAAATGAAAGGTTTCTATACTTCCACCACACTAGAAAACCCAATTCACAGAAAACCTTATTAAAAACATTATTCACCCCTCTAATATGTTTTTATTTGTCAACAGGAATGCTAGTCCAATGCCATCCTGACACAAAATAATCAATATACACATTTATTTTTCAACAGTCCCTATTGTGGACTCACCAACAACACTATTCATTAGTCTACAGAATCTTTTTTAATAACAAGAGGATTTACAAGTTTAATCTAAGGACAGACAGACTCTCTAGTTGAAATAGCAACATGATGAAAAGAATGTCAGCTGAAAACACCATACTGAAAGCTTATTAAATATCACACCGCTAATAGTTTAGATCTGCAATTGTTATTATTATTAAGCACACCTTTGAGAGGAGTTTCAACTGAAAATAAAATCAAGAAGGATAGCATTTTTATAATAGAGCACCTATTTGCATGTTACCTCCCAGGAGAATACTTAACTCAGCATTGCTAACCACACATCCTCAGTATAACAAACAAATGCTATTGTTCTAATTGTGTCTTAACAGTTTTTGTGTCTTAACAAATTCTCTCCTTCTAAAAAACAGCCAATACTCAAGAGAGAAAAAAAGCCAGAGCTGCAACACAGTATTCTATTCAGTCACAAAATAGAGCTACTACTTACAAAGTAGGTTTGATGAGAAGCCCAAACCAATCTAAAGGCGTCTAAAAATACATCCCTTACCAGAAGCTCATGAAGCCCGATAAACATTTTGATCAACAGCTACACTACCGCATGACAGCTTATTGGTCCAAACCAGCAAAGAATCTTGTGGCTTGTAATGAATTAGCTTTCTTGTGGGTGCTGCAGGGAAATGATACAATTCTTTCAAAGCATATCAAAGGATTATTAGAGAGAAGAACATTAACTGCAGGTCAACTTATCTGAAAGATAGCTTGCCCAGGAAGGCAGTCCTTCACTAACAAGAGACAGAACAGTGAACCCAATCCTATTACTAACACCACCCTTCCATTCAAATCAGGTTTACGTTGTTTTTGAACAATTTAAATTTGGGTGTTTACATGAGGTATACACAAGCACAGATTAAATTGAAAGGAGATTGTGTTTTTCTTTCTTTGTGAAAGTTAGGTTTTTTTGACTCCTCCACCACAGATCTGTTTATTGTCGGATAGCTCAGTGGTTTACGTCTCTGGCTTCAGTCAGAGACTGTAAGTTCCATTCCTCACTGGGCTTCCTTGACAGGAGCTGGACATAATGATCCATAGGATCCCTTTCAACTCTGCGGTTCTAAAATAATTATAATCTAATACAGATACAGTGGGGCCTTGACTTGAGAACTTAATCCGTATTGGAAGGCGGTTCTCAAGTCAAAAAGTTCTCAGGTCAAATCTGCATCTCCCATAGGAATGCATTGAAAACCATTGGATCCGTATCTGCTCTTTTCCGTCCATAGAAACTAATGGGAAGCTGCTATTCTGCCTTCGACCACTAGAGGGGGATATTTTGTTTCTTTTTTTCTTAGGTCAAGAAAGGTTCAGGGAAGGCAGGGAAAATACAGCCCAGGCAGTACCAGGCAGTCTGAAGACTGTCTCCCAATCCACTCTCTAAACGCTGGGAGGAGTGAGGAAGCAGACAGGCACCCTTTTCACTGGCCAACTGTTAAGTGAAAGTTCACATTTTGCACTTTCCCTGCCTCCCACGTGGGTTTTTTTCAGTTCTTAACTCAAATCTAAGTATGTAAGTCAAGTCAATATTTTCCTATGAGAGTGGTTCTTAAGTCAAAATGTTCTTAACTCAAGCCGTTCTTAAGTCAAGACCCCACTGTATTGAATTGGTTAATTGAAATCAATTCCATATATGTGAACTCCCCTGTCAGTGTTATTTTTTTAAAAAAAAATTGCAATCTGATACAGTGCTATACCAGATAGCAGGATTAAAAAAAAAAAAAACATATTGTGGTCCCTTGTGTTATCAGCTGCTCAGCTGATGGATGGCAAAGGAACACAAACAGAGAAGGAAGAGGGGTGGCCCAGGAAATGTTAACATGAACAGCAATGTAACTCACAGTAAGTGCTCAGCTTCACCACCCATCACTGGGTGGCACAGTGTCTTATCAACCACAGTGGCCTGTCTCCAAGGCACGGCTTACCCACACATGAGGGGGTGGCACAGCACCTGCTCAATTGCAGCAGCTGGCGTTGCTGCTCAGAAGCTGTGGTGCAGCCTCAGGAGCTAGCACTGCATTTGCAGGGCTGCCACATCCTGAATGGTGGTGAAGCTGGGCTGCTGCATCATGGAGCCAGGTTGCTAGAGTTAAAAGTAATTGAGTCTCCTCTTTTCTCTTCCATCTACTCTTGTCTGTGCTTGCTTCCTTCCCATCCAGTGAGCTACCAGGGAAGGGGCAGCTGAATCTTCCTAGACCCCTCACCCATTTCCTTGTAGAGTTGTTGAATTTAGCCAAGAGTCATGAACAGCACTAGGGTCACAGTTGCCCACCGCAATTAGAGCATGATCCAGAATCACTGGCAATTCATGGTAGATGTTTGTTTGTTTGTTTGTTTGAGGGAGGAGTTACACAGTGGTATGTTAGTGCACTTTGCAGACATAGAATGTGCTATGTATCCTCCTACTAGTCTTAGTTGAGACTTGCCCACTAAATCAATTGTTGAATGAGAAGTTTACATTTATGTAAATCCCACAGAGTCAATGAACGTGCTTTAATAGAATAGTAATAGAATATTGGGACTAGTAATAGAATATTGGGAAGAGTGCTTGTGTGCATTAAATAATTAATTAATTTAGGATTCTGGGGTTGAGTGTCAATTTGCCCCCTGTAGACATCCATGGTACAAAGAGAGACATAAATCCTCACTGTGTGTTCTTCCATAACAAATAAAGGTTTCCTTTGACAATTTGTCCAGTCATGTACAACTCTAGGCGGCAATGCTCATCTCTGTTTCCAACCCATAGAGCTAGTGTTTGTCCACAGAAAATCATCCATGGTCACGTGGCCAGTGTGACTAGACACAGAACGCCATTTACCTTCCCACCGAGGTGGTATCTATTTATCTACTTGCATTTTGCATGCTTTTGAACTGCTAGGTTGGCAGGAGCTGGGACAAGCAACAGGGGCTCACTCCGATTCGATCTTGCGTCGATTCGATCTTACGACTGCAGGTCTTTTGACCTTGCAGCACAGAGGCTTCAACGGTTTAACCTGCAGCGCCACCACGTTCCTACTCCATAACAAATAAGATACAGCAAACAGAGAAACAAACAAACATGCTGCTCCTACATGCCCACGGAAGTCTTACTGAAGACAGAAATGTTTTTTTGCTCCGTAGTCTCCAAGAGAATATGGACATTTGTGGAAATTAATTTTTCTGCATTTCTGTGAATGGAAACATTTAATTGCTGCTTTGTTGCATGGACTAATATAGTAGAAACATTGGATAGGTTGCTTATGCTTTTCTAAACCATCTGCCTCTACTTTGTGTTTGTAGTGGGTGTGTCCTTGTATTCACAAAATGAAAGAATTTTAGTGGCAGCAACAACTGCAATGAAATAGTTGCTCTTTCACTGAGAACCAGGAGGCAGAAACTTTTGCTGGGGTTGGAGGCCAGAGAATTCTTGGTTGGCTGGATAGTTCTGTGGTTTGGTATCTGACTGCAGAGTCAAAGGCTGGGAGTTTGATTCCCACGGTGCCTCCTTTGAGTAGAGCCAACCTGTGCAGCCTTAGGCAAGCTGGACAGTTCCAGGGTGACCCCAGAAGAAGAGAATGTAAGCCACTTCTGAGTATTCTCTATCTGGAAAGCCCTGAAATAGGGTTGCCATAAGTCAAAATTGACTTGACGGCACAGGTTTATTATTAGAGAGTTCTTGTCAGGTTGTCTTGCTTTGCTGAAACAGCCTGTCATGGCAGAGACACCAGAAAGATTGTATCTCTGTACTAACGATTGTTCGAAAATAGAAAAAGAAAGGAAGAAAATAAAACAACTTTGATATGTATGGTGTTTGCTTTATTTTCATACCCTCCCAATCCCTTAATATTCACACATATCTTTGTCCAATTCACAGATCAACTGCAAGAGGAATACATAATTTGTAGAGGGTTCTTCTGGATAAAGTAAGAGACATCTTGAGCCTAGTCAACACTTTTCAAAAGGCACGAATAATGAGAACTTGCTATTGCTTCTCATTTCTCATCTGGACTTGTATGTTTCACGAAGTACCTACTTCACCATCCCTGAAAACGACTCACGTTTATTTCCAAGCTGAAAGGATAATGGGACATTCTAAAGACCATGGAAAAGCACTGCATCGGACCAAACGGGGATGGATGTGGAATCAGTTTTTTTTACTGGAGGAATATACTGGTCCAGATACCCAATATGTTGGCAAGGTAAGTACTGCTGCATAGCTGAATGGTTTATGTATCTGGGTGCAATGGTTGGAGGTCAGCTCTCCATTGTGCTTCCTTGACAGGGGCTGGACTTGATGATCCATAGGGCCACTTACAGCTCTGAAGTTCTATGAAGATGATTACTGAGATTCATAGATTATTTGTAATGATGATTGAATATAACTGGTTTCAATTCCAAAGCAGCAGCATTTGAAGCCAGTTAGGTCAAATATCACTTCCTACTGAGGGGAAATAAGATTTTACAGCTCACAATTTATGGAATATTTCTATTTTATAGGTGGGGAATGGTTCTCAGATACAAGGCTACATGTTTTGTAAGAAAACATTTCTTTAGCTGAGAACATACTCAGTCAGAGTTAAAATGTGCAGCTGGTGTTTGGCAAGGGACTGAAAGTGTTATATGGTTACAAGTAATGTTGGCTGATTAGTGTGCTTCTGGGAACATAAAAAAATATGTGTATAAAGAACATATGGTAGTGAAAGTATAGGCACATGCATGCTTCAAATGGCATGGGATGAGAATTAAGCTGATCTGCATACAAATCAAGAGACATAAATTTAATTTAAAAATATAAAACAGTAGAAGTGTGATATAATATCCCAGGTAGCCACCATCAATAGGACAGATGTACAAAACTACTTGCAAAACCATCCATTCTCATCAATATATGTTGTATTGATACAATGATACCTCTCAAGGCCCCACAGAATTCCTCATTTTGGGGCAATAGTGAGCCAAGGAACACAATTTCTTCTTGAACTTTGTGGACATGGTCTCTTCACAAATCTAGCATCCCTTCCTTTGTGAAATAAAACACAAACTCAGGAAGCACAGAAAGATAGGCTGCTTGTCCAAAAACAGTCATTGTCATTTTTCACAATTTGTTTTGTTTGGGATAAAATATTATTTCTTTCCAAGCATTAATTCACAAACGTTGCTTAATTTACATCTAAAAGCTCTCGTTCTTGTGGTCTTCTCTTGCTGAGAGCCTCTGGAAAAAAAATTCCCTACCCTCTCACTGGGTGAGAATTTTTTTCCAGTTCTTTGACCTTGCACACACTGTAAAGAAGCAGGCAAAGATTTACATCCTTACTTCATGGTGGGTCATATCCCATCTCCATGTAAGAGTTACAACATATCTGAAAGCTGGACCAGAATAATTACTACTGTGTCACAGATGCAGGGTCACTGAGTTTTTATTTTTTTAAAAAACGGAAGGAAGGTTTTTATTTATTTAGGACATTGACACCTGCATTTTATTATTTATTGGTTGGTTTATCATTAGTGTGATTTCTGTCTCACTCTTCTTTATAGGAACTCAGGGCAAGTACAGTAACAACCTCTGTAATACAAGATTGAAATCACAACTATATGAAAAATGCAACAAAATGAACAAGAGGCATACGAAATAAAACACTTGCCTTAAATTCTAAATGCCTGTGCAAACAGAAACATTTTTAATCTGAAACCTGAATAGCATAACCCATAAAATAAGGGCCCATGGTGCTTTTAACATTTACTATATAACGTACTGTACAAATAAAATAAATAAGAAATTTAAGATTAGGGATGTGCTCTATTTGGATGAATGCATACAAAATCAAGGGAAGAAGCATGCTTTTGGGACCACAGGATGGAGCAAGAGGCCACTGGTCATCCACACAGTGGATCAGCTCCTCCATGGATCCTTCATGTTTACTCAGTAATATGTGTCTGTATATGTGTGTCTTAAAAGATGCACCATGATTGTTATTGAAGAAGAAGAAATTAAAAGGAACATATAATGATTGAAATCCTGTTGCTTTGGGCTTTGAATGGCTAGGTCAAAATTAGGGCCAGTCTTTCTGCCAGTGGTTCATTTCTTTTTCTTTCTTTTTTCTTGTTGGTGTGGTGATGCAAATACTGCTGGCCTTTGAAACATGGCTAAAAGGTAGAAAAGGGTACCTGTGTGTAGGAGTAGAATTGTGTGTCTCTCACTAAGTATTTAAGGTTGACCATGTCTCTAAAATTGATAATTCTGTGTAGCTGCACTGCTACCATAAGTTGTAGTTGTTTGTCTCATCAAATGGGATTTTTCACAGAAACCTGAAAATGCACAGACACCATCGTAGACCCAGACAAGGACCAGGTTGGAACATGAACAAAGGGAAATAGGACAGTTCAGGGACCTATTTGGTAAAACCCACAGAATCTTCAGCTAAGGATCAAGCAAAACAATTCTAATAGGAGTAGAATTACATAGTAAAAAAGTTTTGCTTAGCAAGCTTGTCACCATGAAAGGAAAGGCCGGGTCCTCAGTAGCTATGTGGCTAATTTCTGAAGATAGATGGAGAAGTGAACTTGCTAGATCTCAAGACATTGGGTGAAGTCTCAATGATTTGGTATGTTTCTCAAAAACTCCAAGCAATGAGACCACTTTAATTCTTGAAAATACCTCTGTTTTATGAATTTGGAATGTTAAGTTTCTGTATCCACAATTCAAAATGCCACGAAATGGCCTAATATTGGGGTACAATATTGTGCCCACATTGTCAGCAGAAAAAAGGATGACAAGCTTTACTTAGTAAAAAGCAACATGTTGACAACACCAATGGCAACAGTCAAGATGGTCTAAAGATACCCTCTTGTGTTCAGTCAATACCATTCACAAAGTGACACCAAGCAAGGGAAAATCCAAGAAGGTGACTTATTTTTCATCAGTTAATCATTTCTCACCCAAACACAAAGCAATTATCATGGCTGTTTGTTGACAATTGTGGGTTGCTTGTAATCTGATTAGCTGAGCTTATACCCAGATTTTGGACTCCTTTATCCTTCATGTCTATTCATACAATCAGATAGCCCTAAATGAATTCTACTAGCAAAGCAAAGTGTGCTGCTTATATACTGCCCCATAGTGCTTCAAGCACTCTCTGGGCGGTTTACAATTTAATTATGCAGGCTACACATTGCCCCCCCAGCAAGCTGGGTACTCATTTTACTGACCTCGGAAGGATAGAAGGCTGAGTCAACTTTGAGCCGGCTACCTGGGATTTGAACCCCAGGTCGTGAGCACAGTTTTAGCTGCAGTACAGCGGTTTAACCACAGCGCCACAAGGCTCCTATGAATTCTACTACATTTCCAAATATGCCCTGCCCTCACTCCCCTGATATTGCAAGTGCTCGGTTATGAGACATTGCAAGGGCATGCCCCTTGGTCTTACATTTTGGCCCTAAAATTTCAGGGAATGGACCCAGAAATGTTGTTTCTTTTGGTCAGAGAATTCCAGGAACTGCATTTCACAAAAGTAATGTTTCAAAGCTTTACATTTTTTATTTATTAATTCCTTGTTTCAGAATGAACAAACCTGAATGATATCTGCCAAAGCATTCTCTAGGTCAGAACATAGTTAAATGGGTCAGTTCATACTTCACCAAAATTTAATGCTGCATTCTTTGATTACTGCTTTACAGAGAGGTCCAAGTTCTGCTGTTAATGTTTAAGGGCTAATCCAGTTAGCCTGAAGTAGACAAGACCCACTGAACAAAAAAAAAAATTAGAAGATAAGTTGGATGAGCAAGCCAAGGTCAGTTTACCAAGATATTAGATTAACAAGAGTCAAAGGAATGCAGATAACTGAGAAATAGCTGAGCATATTTATATTCCTTTCTGTAACTTCTGAGAAGGCAGAAAGCGTTATTCAGCTACAGCTAGAAGACTATCTCCCATACTTTTAGCCACTTAGGAAACTTTACCCCTAAAGCATCTTCTGTTGGATCCTTGCAGTTATTCTTGTTGGATCTTGCTATCCTGTATCTTTAGATGTTATTTCTTCCTGAGCTTTGGGGAAACAAACCTAACACAGACTGGACATTTACTGGTGTCTGCATCCCTAATGCTCATATGGCTAGCAAGTTTGTTACTTTTTTTGACCAAAGGAAGTGTCCAAACAAATTTTGAAGGCAGACCTAAGCACAATGCATTTTCCCATCTTCTTTGCTGAGCAAATATCTTCTTCATTTGCAAGAATTTCAAACTCCAAATCCTCCTTCTTAACCTATTTAAACAATTTTACTTCTGAACACACACATACCTTATTTGCTGACTGTTCAAGGCAAACTTAGACAATAACTATCCAACTAGTCAGAATAGTGAGGATGCATGAGACAATTTTGAATGCATCAGTTTCCTGTTTAATTGGATAGTAGAGAAGTGCCATTTGATTTTTTTCTTTAACTCCAACTCCCAGAATTCTTCAAGAATTCTTTAGACAGAATTCTGAAAATTCAGATCAGCGATCTATACCTATAGATACATATATTTCACTCACATGGACCAGGGCCTAATTCTCTGAGGCTGCATAGCTGTCTGAGGCCCACTTCCTGTTGTTGATATAGACAGAAGGAAATTACAGTGGTGCCTCCTGGGAGTTGTACTCTGAATACCCTTTAGACTTTATAAAGCAGTGGTCCCCAGCCTTGGGCCTCCAGATGTTCTCAGACTTCAGCTCCCAGAAATCCTGGCCAGCAAAGGTGGTGGTGAAGGCTTCTGGAAGTTGTAGTCCAAGAACATCTGGAGGCCCAAGGTTGGAGACCACTGCTATAAGGGACACATCCCAAAGAACTATGGAGCTCAAGAAGCACCATAACAGGTTCCTTTTTGGTACAGGAACAAGAACTATGCAGATAGCCATGCAGTCTTAGAAACTTAGGCCCTGGTCAAAGGGAGCAACATGTAGGTTTCTGAAGGTATCTATAAATATGAGTCTGTGGGCTGGAACTCCCAGAATTCTGTGTAGATAATTCTTAGAGAATTGTGGGATTTGGCAGCTAAACAAATCCAAATGGCACATCCCTATTGGATAATATCAATTATATTGGTCTTGGATAGGGAAGCAAATACCTCCTAATCTCATATGTAAGATTAAGAAACAGAACCATTCTTTTCTCTGGCAAGAACAGCCAGGTATTTCCTAGCAATGAGAAGAGTGAGGTTGTG